AGCAGCGATCTCACTTTAACATGGAAGTTTATGTCCCAGTTCTTACAGATGGAACAGACAAAGCTTTGTATATGATTTGTATCAATGTGCATAAGAACAGAGACGTATTCGCTTGGATATGAATGACGCCGATGCTTAAGATACAGATACTGTAGCAACGTGGGTCAGAACAAAGGCGTTTGGTTCTTAGATAATAATTACAGATATAACAGAGGTCTCCGTGGCTTTACATTCATTGAATCTGATCCTTATGTGTCCTTCATCTTTGTCCAAAACGTGCAGGTCAGATTCCACACCAGCCTACATTTCTCGAGAATAGATTTCTTTATAGATACGCGACGCCAGGGCAGCTGTGGCTACATGACCACCGTGTATGGAGTGAAAGAATAATGACATGTAAAGCGTTTTTGAGAGTCCAAAAAGGGCCGATGATATGGACACGTTACATTGTACCGCCCGGATTCCCTGCCTTTAGAGCCATAGAAAACCAAGCTTATTTCCTATACTGTAAATGACTATAACTATTACCATTATTATGACTATAACTATTGCAACGACACGTCATCAGTAAAAAGAGCCCTACACAAGCCTCGGCCTGGACCTCGCTCTCAGCTTCACATGTGGAGCCAGAGAGCGGCCATCTCCAGCAGACAACGCCCATTTACTACAATGAATGTGCGGTCACATGACGAGGAGGAATCAGCAGCACAAGGAGCAGAGGAGGAGGCGCCATTACAGAACATACAACCATCATGAGAGCGCACTGGGCAGAGACACCAGGAGTCTGAAATCTCTGACACTGCAGCGAGTCACGACTGATTCAGCTTTCGGCTCCTTTTCCACATTAAAAACCTCCTGAATCAATGCAAACGAGCGTAACTTACGTGTTAAAGCAGAGACTGGACCGCGCACGCAATAGTGACCGATAATAATATAATAATAAATCTGTATTTGTATAGTACTTAAAAACAGTGTTTACAAAGCGCTTCACAGTCAAATATAAAAAGAAATACAGCAGAATAAAGCAGACAAGACAGTAAAATACAGCCCCATATTCTTTAGTTAATACCTCATGTTTTCCTCTAGATGCAAAGCTAAGGGCGTTTAGCACGTCTGGCCACATGACTAAAGCTGCAGTGCTTTAGGACTAATTTGATCAAACGTTTTAACCATGATACATTATTTATTTGTGCCACTAACCTCATTTCACAAACGTGGGAAAGAGTCGGACTGGGGACTCTGCTGGTTCTGTATGACTGAGGGTTTGGGTGGATCATGACAACATTCTACAGGCCCATAAGGCACAGAGATACTTATTTAAATCAATTCAATCTATTTTTGTTCAGCTTTAAATCACAGTAGTAATTTTCTCAGAGGACAAAGCTGTCGATTCACCAACACAGATCAGAGAATCAGTTAAAACACAGGAGATGCAATGATAAAACACACAGAGACATTGGTCCATAATGTTATTGTATAAATGTGAATAAACATCCGTACATTTAGGTAAAACACACATTATTGGCTGTAACATAGAAGCTCTGGGGTCAGGGACAAGGGTCTGACTCTGAAGAAACCAAACCAAAATATTCTGGTCCAACATTTGTGTTTTTCTTCATGTGAGACAAACGAGGAGTTAAGGCTAAGCTTCTTAAACAGCTCGGTGCCAGACACATGACGAGCAGGACCACGAACGAACACAGCAGAATGGCTTTTAACATCACGGCCAGGGGACTACAGGTGAAAAATAGCCTCCGTGGCTAATTCTGGCTTTTTTAACTCATGTTTAATCATGTGTTTTATTAAATTGCATTGTCCCCTTTGAAATAAACTAAACTGAAACTGAAACACAACAGCAGAGACACACAACAGCAGAGACACAACAGCAGAGACACACAACAGCAGAGAGACACAACAGCAGGAAAAGTCTTGGTGCAGGTTTAATTATGAACAAAAACATAAATAATCCATCTCTTTGCTTCAATAGTCCATGTTCATATTATTATAAACACCATTGTTTAGTTTAACAGTTTGGATAAAAGTGTGGCTCTGACTAAACTTATTTTTTCTGAATCATGGAATCAAGACGTTAGAAAGTTAAAAGTCTGAGTCACATCCACAAAGTGTGATGTCACCTACAGAAATAACAGTAATAACAATAATGTGGTGTTGAGCCAAAGCAGTATCCGCTCAGACGGGTGATGTCACACTACAGCCAACACACCTTTACTTTACTGTTCCCATTGAAATGCCTGAGCAGAGAAGACTTCAATGACTGCAACATTAGCAACATCTGTAAGGAGCTACTTTCAACATCTGCATCATCTGTCTCCAGGAAACACCAGGAAACACCAGGAAACACCAGGAAACACCAGGAGCCTGAGCACATCTGTTTGTTTCTGAACCGTAAAGTTAAAGTTCAGGATAAAGTTTCCACAGAAGAATCACTAAGACCTGAAGCAGAGACAGAAGCCAGCAGCATCACACTCAGGTCCGTGGGAAACCCGGAACTAAAATAAATCTGGCTTTTTCTAACAGCACTGAACAATAAACAGGTTTCTTAATTTTGAGCAGAACTCGAGTTAGAGACAATACTCTCCATCACACACGTGTGTAGTGTGGTGTGTGTGTGATAGTGTGTATACATGTATCTAGTGTGTGTACATGTATAACAGTGTGTGTATCTAGTGTGTGTACATGTATAACAGTGTGTGTATCTAGTGTGTGTACACACAGTGTGTGTGTGTGTGTGTAGTATATATAGTGTATAAAGTGCTGTGGAACAGATCGCTCAGCAGAGATCCACAGCAGGAGGATCTCAGTCTGTGTGATAGTGTGTGTATACATGTATATAGTGTGTATACATCTATAACAGTGTGTGTATATACTGTGTATATGTGTGTACATGTATAACAGTGTGTGTGGAACAGTTATCTCAGCAGAGATCCACAGCAGGAGGATCTCAGTGTGTGTGTGTGTGTGTGTATACATGTATGACAGTGTGTGTGTGTGTGTATACATGTATGATAGCGTGTGTGTATAGTATGTATAGTGTATAAGGTGCTGTGGAACATTTGGCTCAGCAGAGATCCACAGCAGGAGAATCTCAGTGTGTGTGTGTATGATAGTGTGTGTGTGTGTGTCTGTATACATGTATGATAGTGTGTGTTTATAGTATAAATAGTATATACAGTGTATAAGGTGCTGTGGAACAGATCGCTCAGCAGAGATCCACAGCAGGAGGATCTCAGTGTGTGTGTGTGCGTGTATGTGTGTGTATACATGCATGACAGTGTGTGTGTATACATGTATGATAGCGCGTGTGTGTGTGTGTGTGTGTGTGTGTGTATAGTATATATAGTATATAAGGTGCTGTGGAACAGTTAGCTCAGCAGAGATCCACAGAAGGAGGATCTCAGTGACTGATGTTTGTGCACATGCGGATGATGTCACATCTCACTGAGAGTTGATTGGCTGAAGAGCGAGGCAGGGCCAGCGACAGCCAATCAGAGGCCAGCGAGGAGAGGGGCCCGACTGCAGCCTCCGCAGCCTCCTCAGAGCGTCTGAACAGCAGAGGGCTCTGTGTCGGCCTTCTCTCTCTCTCTGACTTTACTCTCTACACTTTCAATACAGTCTCATCACACCATTCACTCTAACTTAAAGATGAAGAGGAAGATGAAGAGATCCTTTTGGTCTCACAGGGAAATGTCAGTGTTGCATCGTTACAGAAGGAGGAGCACACAGATACATGAACTATAAGTCTGTAGTAAAATAAAACAACATCCCTAAGTTCAGCAGAATAAAAAAGTGAGTAATAATAAATGTTTAATTTATTATTACTTTAATCTATGTTTTTGACTTTAATCTCGAGCTCAGGATCAAAGTGTCTAAAATTATACAAGATACAATTTATCACAATAACAAACAATAAAATATGACATCATAAATTGTGCAACATTTTTCTAGAACAAAGACCAGTTTCTGGAGGAAGCCGTGAAAAGGAAACATTGCTGATGATTTAAAGTTAAAGTTAAACACACGAGTAACGACTATAGTTTGTTTGTCAAAGCTACATTTGATGTGGCTGCATTTCTTGTGTTGTGTTTTATTTTTTTTATTATTATTTAAGAATATATTTTAAAATATCAACCTATTAAATCAGAGTTTGAGAAAATAATAATATACAAGTCAAAAACCATCAACAAAAACTATTGATAAAAAAAATGAATGAATTTTAACGACCGCAGCAAAAATAATGTTCTGTTTATGAACAACTCTGACTTCATTCCTTTTGATGCTCGGGCCTCAGTCCATGATCCTGGACCTGTGTAAAACTGTGTGTTATATATTATATATATTATAATATAAAGATTATGTGTTTGAAATGAATAATTAAGGAAGTTTCAAAATATGAAACATTAACAAATAAAGAGTTTCTTTATGAAACTGAGGAAACAATTTACACAAGTGTTCTGAAAACTGTCCATCTCTTTCTCTCATAATCCTTTTGTCTCTTTTAAGGCTGGAGACAATTATCAAAATGTTGTAATAACAATTATAATTATTCTTTAACTGTGGAGAGTTACTCGGCAGCAGAGACAAAAGTATAAGCTGGAAATGATTGAGACTTAATGTTTGAACATTAGTTCAAAGGAACAGGCTGAATATTCAGTTTCTTTGGATTAAGAGGAAACAGTGCGAATGTAGAGAATCACAAATAAGTCGTTGTTTCTGTTCTTTAATATTATTCTGCAGTAAAAGGAGTCAGTGGAAAACAGCCACTTTCACATCAGCAGCGACAGAAGCTGCATGTTCTGTTTCTAGTGCTTCCAAAGCTGTCGTTATGACAGACAGCTCTCGTCACTTCGACTGTTAAAGGCGTGTCCATAGTTAAACGAAGCTAAACTAAAGCATGAGTCTAATATAAAGAGATCCAAACAGAGTTATTTACAGAGCTCTGTCTCATTATGAACAAGCCTCTTCTGTGAGGGACAAAAGGATCATGTGTTGCTCTGAAACACTGAGCTATAGGGGATTCCACCCCCACACACTTCACACACTTTAATAGAACGGTTTGGGCCAAACTCATCTCTGTCCGACCTGCCACATAACGGCAGTGGCTCGGCCCGCCCCGGCAGGAGGCGTACCTTCTGCTTTCTCCGTAAGTGGCCGGGCTCAGGGAGGTGCGGACCACGTGAGGCGTGCGGTGCCTGTGATATGGCACACCCCCAGCTGCACACACCCATCTGAGCCCAGAGAGGGAAGGACGGGGGAGGGGCCAGTCTCAGCCTGTAGCTTCCTGCAGCTTTCTCTGCAGCTTCTTCATGATGTCGCCGTGTAAACGTGTGCACTGCGGCCGCACGACCACAGCACCACTCTGTCACATGTGACTCTTTTAGAAACACAACCAAGCTACACGTCTGAACACGGAGCCCAAACACATGAACAAGATTCAATGTTCAAGTCCGACGTCTACTTCACACAATGATTTGTTTCCTGTAACATTCATTTGGCCTCGTTTTACAAGGCTTTGGTTCGTCTTTAAGGGGAGCCCAAAGCTGAGAAGAAATCCTGTGAGAACTCTGAGGCTCCAACAAACTGGAACTATTTAAATACTTTGATCAGAATCCAACTATGAAAACATTGTAATGTGTCAATAAAACCAAGCCCAAAGCCAGAGCAGACATCAGCCAAGATCAGCTACTTGTCATATGTCAGTTTAAAATAAGCTGAATAAGAGGAAAAAAGGGGAAATCATGACCATCCACTGTCACTGTGTCTCAGAGCCTCATGCTGCTAACATGCTAACATGCTAACATACAACTATTTTGTCTGCACTAGAATATACAGATTTTAAACTAACTTCTTTATTATGGTAAAGTCAGAGATTTAAGTTTATTTCAGTATAGAGTCATTGTTCTTTTATCTTGTGCTGTGGGATCCTCGTTCCTACTGTTCTGTAACTGATGATGCAACACTGACATTTCCCAGTGGGACAGAAAGAAGTAAGTTTTGTTTACAGACACGAAGCAGCAGAAGCCTCAGGTTTCATTTGCAGAAACAGCAGAAATGGTTTTGAAATGATGCGATTGGTTTTGAGCTCTGTGCACATGATACATTCAGAGACTGCAGACTAAAAAGGCTTGTTTCAGACTAAATATTAAGATAAGATAAGAGTTCCTTTGTTCGTCCCACAGTGGGGAAATTTCGATGTTGCAGCGCACAGACAGGACAGTAGTAAGAGCACACAGGGAGCACACATAATATATACAAATAAGTAGTAGCTATGCTTCTTAGCTAACATAACTAGCTGTAGATGCTGAAAATGCTTCAATACCAGTCATAATATATATGTAGTAGTGCAGTTATACACTGTACAGTTAAATAGTGCAGTATATAAGTAAAGTGACATTGTTCTGTGACATTCTGAAGTTGCAGTATTGAAACTTAATTTGAGAAATGTAACAGTCCCTTCGCCAGGACGAGCAGACGAAGAGACGGCTACACTCCTGAACTCTCAGCCTGCACTTTAACATCATGTAATGAATGTATATATAACAGTATATATAACAGTATATAAAACAGTATATATACTGGCAATAGCAGCTTTGTCTCACACATACGCTTACATGTATTTATCTGTGTAAATATTGTCCTATACTTTTGCACGACTGGTTTGAGGCTAAACTGACTTTTGTTGCACTGTTCTTCCTTTATTTATTTTGATTTAATCTTTAATTCAGACACATAAAGAGTCCATACAACACAAACATACACAAACATTCATTTTTGTCTGTTCTCTGTAATGACAATAAACTTGAATATTATTTAGTCTGTGTTTCCACAATGATCCGGATCAGAAACACATGATCACCATCATTTTGTGAAGAGTGAGGGTCTGGAGGTTTACACAGAGTAGTTTTGGACCATTCTGATTGGACAGCAAAACAACCAATCAGAGAAAACAGGAAGTAGCTGCAGGAACAGTAAGCAAAGTAGTTTGAATTGTATATCATGATGTCTGTGTTTTTGTTTTGTTTTGTAATGTCTTTAACTGTTAATAAAAAAAATACTTGCACTTGAGTTGATTTACTTATAATCTGTGATAAAAAACAATCACTGCAGGTGCAAAAGAGAGTTCCTGGTTCTGCCATCTGTGATTGGTCGTTAGATTCTTTTATCAGACATTGAACCAAAAAAAACAGGACCGAGATTGAACAGAAGTTGAACAGAAAGTTTGTTCGTGATCAATGTTGAAGTTATCCATGAATAAATGAAACGTGATCATTATTGTAGTGACATCTGTACTGGTGAAGGCTGCTTTGAACTAAGGATTTAACTCCATAAATAACTAAATAAATAAACAGCATCTGAAAACATCTGAAAATGTGCACCGAGATAAATCACAGCTGCTGGAAAAGTAGATCATGTTTTTCCAAATGGCCACAAACCAAGACATTACAAAGAGATAAATATTCTACTCTGAAAAATACATGGGGCACACTCTTTCCTTTGTGAACTAAAATATTAATAATAATAGATTTCATGATATTAAACTGGAGGAAGTGTGTGTGGGTAGGGAAACAGTGTTTCCCACACATAGACTAATCTGTGGCGCACCGCCACAGATTAGAGACCGCCCGCCACAAATTGCGTTTCGTATTATTATATATATATTTTTTTTGTTACGCTATTTAAAACATGCATCGTCTAGTGCCGCTGCAGCGGTCAATTTGACAGCGGGGAGGGGGGTTTAAAATGTGGCGGCCCTTCGTAACTCTCACTCAAGCTACGCGTCTCTCCCACATACAGAGACCTACACACACACAGCCCCTCCCCTTCGTGCACACCGCGTGTCTCCGTCTCCATCAGCGATCATCGCTGTAAGCAGCTGTGTCTATTAATTTACCGCGGTAAAGTGGCCCGCATCTTTCAGCTCTATGAACATGCGGCCCGCATCGGGGAAAAGACGGTGCGCGTTTTGTTGAGAACGAACTTACGGTAACAGCGGAACGTCCTTTCGGAGTCACCCATTTTTATCGAACAGAAAGCGCGCTGGGGTCTGGGAGACACGTTTTTGTGATTAAAACCTTATAGAGATGCCACCCGGCACACATAGCACCAGCCCCCTACGATTCCTCCGGCAGATTGTGAGTCCTCAGGAGGATAGCCACTCTATTGTTTACATATATAAAGTACACAATTTGGTCCGCTAGTGCAATTTTCAAGTATTGTAACTATTTACTGGAATAAGGTGTGCGACTAATTTCACTTGACTCATGACCTTATTATTGCCCTCTGCCACTGTACCAAAGACCAGAAACTTTTACTGTAGAAATATTGAGAAATATTGAGGTAAAGTAGCCATTTTGGTCCAAAATACCTCCAAAATAGTCAAAACATGTCACTTTTGATCTACTGTAACTTTTTACTGTAAAAAGGTGTGCGACTAATTTCACTGGATTCACGACCTCATGATTGCCCTCTACCACTGTACCAAAGACCAGAAACTTTTACTGTAGAAATATTGATTTAAAGCAGCCATTTTGGTCCAAAATAGCCTAAAAATTGTCAAAACATGTCACTTTTGATCTGCTTTTGATCTGCTGTAACTTACTGTAAAAAGGTGTGCGACTAATTTCACTGGATTCATGACCCCCCCCCCCCGCCGACGACCACCACACATTGCCTTCAAACCTGTGGGAAACACTGGGGAAAGGTTCTGCTTAGACTGCTGCCCCCGTGACCCAGCAACGGATGAAGCGGAAGAAAATGGATGGATGGATTTTATCATATATAAAAGCATTTGATCCTAAAGCCCTGATGCTGTCCTCGGGTCAAACGTACCTGCATCAGTGATTCAAAAAGTCATTCTAATAAAATGTTGATGGTATTTTCTTCCTTGACAGGCCCTGAGTCTTTTAGGAACTAGTTTAGGTATTTTCCATTCATCTGTTGTGGTTATTTTTGACTCGAGGGTAGCACTAGTGTTTCTACTCTGTCTCTATTGCATTTATACTTGATTTTTAAATAGTGTTTTCATTAGAAATATCCTGTTTTCTGATATTGATGATTGTAGCAGCTAGAGATAAATGATTTGGTGACTTCGAAGCCGGATACGAATAGATAGCAGCTAATGCGGCTAAAGCTACGGCTAACAGGGCTACGCTAACCACACGAGGAGATCAAAGATTCAATGTATTTGACAAAGCAGTTTCAAAGAAGAAAAGAACCCACTGAGCATTAGAGACAGTTAAAACATTATTACTGTCAGATTTACTTTACCACAATTTTACCTAATTTAAATATTTGGGTGGAAAAATACCTAAAACAGAATAAAATCCATCTGATAATAATCGTCAAATAAATAAAATTATCAAATTTTCTTTTTTAAAAGTTATGAAAGAATAATAAGATTTATAGATCCTTTATTGGTCCCAATTTAGCTTAATAAAGAAGAAAGTATAAATCTCTCTTGTTTAGTACCAATAATGTAATGATTTAGGATTATTTCACATAAATATAAAATCATTGGGAATTGCAGATGAACAACTGGATCAGAAGCCAAAGAATTTAAGATTGTCACATTCCTAGTTTTGTTTAGTACTTTTTTTGAATTGCATTAAGTAAGAAAAGTGACAAGAATTGAGAAGAATCTTTGTAGTTTTCTAGTTGTGGTTTCTTTTGCATGTACAATATATGAATACAGTTAATCTAATGTTAAATGTAAATACATTTTAAAGGAACAGTTAGGGGAGATATAATTTGCAATCTAATTTGAGGAGAGAGCAACTTAAAGGCCTGAAAACTGGGTCAAACACACACACACGCACACACACAATCACCCACACACACAGACACGCACACGCACGCATACGCACACACACACACACAGGCACACACAGACATGCACACACACACACGTACACACACACACACACATTGCCGAACCAGGAAGAGGCCTGACAGGAAGCTGAGGCACAACTTGCCTCACACAGCCAATCAGATCGCCACAGGGAAAGACAAGTATCCAATCACAGAGCAGCACTTTACGCAAAGGTTCCTTAATCCCCTGCCCCGTCCTCATTACTGTTGAAAAAATGTAAAGAATTCAGGTCCAAAGGGCAATGTCCTGAACACTATAGTCTCCACCTCGGAGCCTTCTGCCCCAGAGGCTCATGGGACAAACGTCCCTAACGGCCGCTGTCACCGTTCATCCAGAAACAGTCTCACGTTAAATAAGGTAAATATAAAGAAGGAAAGTTATGGAAAGAGTTGAACAAAACAGCCACAAAAACATAGATTCAAACACAGGTCCTGCTGGGAGCAAAGGTACAACACAATACATTAATATAATGCATAATATTCTGCACATTTATATTAGTATGAAAACTGTTTTGGAGTAAATCCAT